TCTTATATTGTAATGTCATCATAATCTCCGACGTTAAACTATTCTTATAATTTTGAAAAAGATTAAGATCGGAGATTATGATAACATTAAACAATAAAAGATCGAAAATCTATATCAGGAATCTAGATCTTGATAGTTAAGGCATAACAACTATTACCAACATTTCGATTACAAAATCACCATATACAAACCATAAAATAATAATTTATATGTTTTTAGATATCAATTCAAGCTTTATTAAAAATTTCTTCGATAATAAACTCTCATAATATGTTTGGTTATATATGTCAGCATTTTTATTACATATTAGAGTCCTCAGACTCTGTAGTAAAAATTAGTTTGAAGAATTTTTTTTTTTTGCGCAACAATAAAACCGGAAAAACCAAAAAATGTTAGATCATCGCGCGTATAAGTTTTTAAAATAATCTGGTTCCTTACAACACTAAGTAATTATCAAATTTTTGATTGGGTAAAATTAAATTATATTCAAGAAAGAATTCAAGAACTTGCCCAAAAATTACGCCCAAATTTACATAAGTTTGTATAACAATAAATAACAATAATTATAGTGACAAGATAATGAGAACTAAATTAGTATTAGTTTTATTAGGTATATTTCATACTCTTTTTTTAATTTAGGTGCATTAATTATTATTTCCTTTTGGATATTTTAATATTTGTGAAAGTTTGTTTATGTAAAGACGAAGTAGTTTTTGATCCTGTTTGTGGAAATGAAGTGAACTCGCATTTTTGATTTGCATCTAATATTGAAGAAAGAGAAAGTATCTTTTACAATCCATTTGAAAAATGAAAGATCAAAATGAAAATGCCGACGTTACCGTTTGAAGTGTTATCGACAAGAGTGTAGATAAAATCGGACGAACATTTTTCTTCGTCAAAAGTTTGAAATTTATCTGCGAACTTTGCATACCTAAATAAATATTTTATATAAGTTAGACATAATCGAGTTGATTTAAATGTTCATTAAATAATGAAATTACTTACAAGTCATCAAACTTGCATTGTCGATTTATCATTTCCGTATTTGCGTTGTTATGATAATTTTGTTGATGCCTAAACATTCAAGAAAAAAAAATAAATATTTAAAAGAATCGAATTTATTGAATTTATAAAACATCAAACAATCTTTACATACAAAGATTCGAATGATTCATTCTGAGATATCCGTAAATTTTGTTCCTCAGGAATATCTCCGAAAAATTTCACGTATCTGTAACCGCAATTATTCCAAGAAATTTGAATAAAAAGCCGCGTAAAAAAATACAAGTAATAATTATGCGTACAACTCATCAAACGACGCGTGTCCTGTTGAAATACGACGTCTATATAAAAGGTCCTCCATGGTATCTGAAAATGTGAAATGTCATGAATATCAGCAATTAGCCTTTAACCAAATCTCTCTAATATTCATACCATTCATCTCATTCGGGCCCACTAAACTATTTCAAGCTAACTTAACAAACAAAAAGACTTAAAAAAAAAGAAAAAAAAAGAGTTTTCAAAAAGGAATATTTTACTTAAATGACTTTGTAATACATTCATTCTAATTTGTAATTTTCATTGGTCATTGATAATTTGGAATTAGATCATTGTGGTGTGGCTTGCAATTATCGTTATAACCATTCTATAACTGCGCCATATCTTTTTTTTTTTAAATAGGTAGGGCGTTTTTTTTAAAATCAAAAAAATTTTTTAATTTGAGTAAAAAAAAAATTTTTCCTCAAAAAAAAAAAAAATATATATAATAATTTTTTTTTTTCTTGTGGGAATAAATACTTGCATTCCCATTTATTAATTTATTATACTAAGAGTGGGTCTGTGACTAATATACATCTTCTTTCCCTTCTTTACTTTGGAATTCATTCACGCCTTTTCTTCATTTGCTACTAAATCTTACCCTCACGTAAGAATGTCTTCTAATTCTATAAAAATATTTGCGGGTAGTTCACATGTTGAACTTACTAAGCTTGTAGCAAAGTACGTATGTCACAAATTTTTAGCTTTTCCGTTTTTCCATTTCCATTTCCATTTTTTTTTTTTTTTTTTTTTTTGAAAGTTTTTTATTCTATCAATTCAATTCAATCCAATCCAATTCATGATATATAATATCTAATTTAACTTTGTTAATTCGTCCATGTATCACGTTCGTTTTCGTCGATTGCCACGTTCTATGATTTTGATCTTATTATTATGAGTTCAGGCAAATAGGTATAGATTTATCCAAAGTCGTCGTTTTAAAGTATTCTAATCAGGAAACTTCAGTGACGATTGGAGAAAGTGTACGTGATGAAGATGTTTTCATTATTCAATCTGGATGTGGAGAAATTAATGATAATTTAATGGAACTTTTAATCATGATTAACGCATGTAAAACTGCTTCGGCGCGTAGGATAACCGCTGTAATTCCTTGCTTTCCTTATGCGAGACAAGATAAAAAGGATAAATCAAGAGCTCCAATTTCTGCTAAATTAGTTGCCAACATGATAACTGTGGCTGGTGCAAATCACGTTATTACCATTGATTTACATGCTAGTCAGATCCAAGGATTTTTTAATGTACCTGTAGACAATTTATTTTGTGAACCTTCCATGTTAAAATATATTAAAACTCATGTTCCCGAGTGGAAAAATGGAGTCATCGTTTCTCCTGATGCTGGTGGTGCAAAGAGGTATAACTTCCCTCTATTTTTTTGTTTTAAAAAAAAAGAAGATTTTATAATCAAGGCATTCTTCTTTCTTTCATGTAGAGCTACGTCAATCGCGGATCATTTGAACCTTGATTTTGCTTTAATTCATAAGGAACGCAAGAAGGCAAATGAAGTGTCACGTATGGTTTTAGTCGGTGATGTTAATAGAAAGGTTGCCATTGTCGTTGATGATATGGCAGATACTTGCGGTACATTAGCGTTGGCTGCTAAAACCCTTAAGGAACGTGGTGCTACTAAAGTATACGCTATAGTGGCTCACGGTATCCTTTCTGGTAAAGCTATTGATGTAATCAATGGTTCGGATTTGGAAAAATTAGTGGTGACAAATTCTATACCGCATGAAGATAAGAAAGCTATTTGTTCAAAACTTGATACTATTGATATATCTCCTACTTTAGCTGAAGCTATTCGACGCACTCATAATGGTGAATCAGTTTCATTTTTATTTTCTCATGCACCCGAATAATCACTTTTAATATTAAAATAGTTATGATTCATAATGCATTCTATCCAAAATCCCTGTTATAATTAGATTATAATTAGTAAAATATTATTATATCCTTTATAACAAATCGCTTATTATAACATTCATTTACTTAAAATAATTTCATAAGTTCAAAAGCAAAGTCTGAATACTTTATTATTATATATATCTTATATTCTTTGTAATATACAATAAATTAACGTTAAAGAATACTTTTTTCTTTTCGAAAGAACAAGTTAAGTTTATTTAATACAGTTTAAAGTGCTAACTATTAAAACCTTCTTTCAACTAATCACTTGAATTTCTTCCCTTAAGTGGTCTCTTCAATTTGAACTTGCATTTGCTCAGAAAATTCTTCTCCAAAATATTTATCCATTAAACGACTGGCCGCGTTACGTAATGATTCATCTTCTGTCAATATAGCAGTTTCTATTGCATCAATACCCTTCACATTTTCTATTAATTGCTTACCCTAAATATATATATATACATATATATTTTTTTAAAAAAAGGTCTGATAAGTTTCGATTTAAAAAAGTGTAATGTCATTGATATACAGATTAAATTACCTCCGGAACTTGTGCTAATAACATTTCAATATATCCTAATCCTAAGCGAATCAAATCATAATCTTGGGACCGAATAAACTCTAGGAAACCTGACAATTCCAAGTTTCATAAGTATAAATCACGTGTTCAGCAGACGCGTGACTGACGCGTAAAAAAAAAAATTCCATACCTGGCAAAAGCTCTTGATGAGGTAAAGATTTCATGAATTCTACGCCATGTGATGCAATATTTACTAAGCTGTAAGCAGCTTCCTTTCGAATGTCAAAGTTTGTATGAGTAGCGATATTTGAAAGAATTGGGATAAATCCGGCATTAAACACTTTGACTAAGACTTCTGGACGGCGGCTAATTAATAAATTTTTTTTTTTTTTTATTTAATAAAAAGGAAATGTATATATTAACATATAAAGATGTTCACGTAAATAATTTGTAATTACTTACGTTGCCGTTATATTAGACATAACCCAAAGACTTTCTTTCTTGACCGGCCTATGAATAAAGTAATTTAATCTACTTATTCCCGTTGTATAGTTAAGACAGTAATTCAAAGAAATTTTTACCTGCAATCACTCTGAATATATTGAATCATTGAAGGCAGGAAATCGGGTTGCCGAATCAAATGATCCGTGTTTGTATCGGGACCACTAGCAATATTTCCAAATGTTCTAACTAAAGGTAACGACAAAGGTCCATGATTCAACAGAGGTCTCATGTGTTTAACCTAATATAAATGACAATGCCATACTTATATTAACATGTAAATAAGTTTTGACACATCATAACAAACATTTCAAATACCAGAAGTGGGGCAATCCCTTCGTTTAACAACTGAGCAGTATACTTATTGTCGTCGTCACTAGTTATATAAGTTAACACCCAAGAAACCTCAGAGACAACTTCAAAGCTCTATGATGAGAATAATAAATTATTATAAAAAATATAAAATCAAATTTCTAACAAAAAATCGATCGTAATCTCTCAAACCTCATCAGTTTCTAAATGTTGTATAAGGCGATTGTTGATGCCAGCAGCGAAAAACTCGTGTAAATTAGCGTTTGGACCACGAGCAAGATTTGAGAGAGCGAAACAGGCTGTTTGGATGAGATTTACATCCTAACGCCAATATAAAGTTTTATAACAAATCCAATTCTAATGCAACTCAACTATTTTCAAAAGTTTCATATCATATAGGGTATTACCTTAGAATCGAGCAATTTGATCAAGGGGACCAACACTCCATTTTTACGAAGTAATTCCCTACACTCAGAACTTTCAATGGCAATATTACCGATAGCCCAAGCAGCCTGATCTTGCAAAGGCTGTTGAAGTTAATTATAGCAATCATAATTATTAAAGGTATAACAAAAAACGTGTTAATCAATCTTCAAAGGAATGTATGGATCTGATACAAGTGACGAGTCATGACAAATCCGACTTACAATGTTTTCCCTTTCGAGGAAAGGGATCAAATACGGAATTGCCAACGAAGCTTTCTGAACAAATTCTTTAGGTCCAGCAGCAATGTCTTCGTTTAAAGACGGTATAAAATTTAAGTATAAATAATGTATTCATCGTAAAATTCAAAATGAGTATATTGAAAGTAATAATGGACATACTTGTAATACACCAAGTAGCCTGAAGTTGTTCGGCCGGATCAATACTGGATAAGAATTTCTATATTTATCAACAAGAATGTTAGGATAAAACTTCTCATGCATAAATGAAAAACAAAGGCAAAAACGCATACAATCAATATCTCTATACAATCTCCTTCAATTACAAACTGCCTCAATATATCGGAAGGGTCCACGAGATATTTACTCAAGTCCTGGAGACTTGAAAGTCGTGCATCTCGATTAACATTCTACAACAAATAATAATGAGTATTTGCATTGCAAAACTTCAATAGTAGATACAGAAATAAAAATAATAAATAGTCACTTACATTCAAACCAGATTTCAACTTTTCAATGTCTTTTTGAGATAAATTATATTCTGGTTCTAAGGTTCAATCAAAAAAAAAATTCCAGTAAAACAGAAAATTCGATTAAATGTGCTTATTGTATTATATACTCGTTTTTACAAATCCGATTCAAAACTGTACCAGCATCATCATCTTTGTATTCTTCAAGATTATGTTTGAAACGTTTGGTGGTAATGAGTTGGTCCCGGTGTTTTCTTCGAGCTTGCGCGTCAAGTTCAATACGTCGCTGCCTTGCTTCTTCAGCATTCCTAGGAAGACTATTACGTTTATATTTAGCTTTATGAGCTTCTACCGGAGAAGGAGGAGCAGGCTGTTTTGGGGGACTTGAAGACTCAAAAGTAAAAGTATTTTCAAAATCATTTTTATTATTCGTGAAATCCATTTTTCTTTTTTCTAAGCGTGAGAATTGAAAGTAATTTAATTATTTAATGAATCGGATCTTTTCGGATCGAACTCTAACCAATCATAATAATTACTAGGTAATATAATTAAATTACCTAATATTTACTATGAATGGTTTAAGATTAATTATATATTTAATTTTTACTAAATTACTAAGATGTTTATATATTAATTTAAATAAAATTATTATAAAAAGTATATTTTAATATATATTTTATAAAAAGTATTTAAGTTTATTTAAAATAATTCAATTTTAAAATACTAATTAAATTAATAAAAATTTTAATTATAATTTTTAGTAAAAATTATACATAAAACCGAAATTAAAACTCAAAAGTCGAAATATTTTAACTTGAAGATCATGGTCAAAATTAAAGTTGAGATGGTCAAAATTTTATTATTATATTATATGATTTTTATACTTATATATTTAATATATAATACTTTATACAAGAATTATCAGGAAACTATTGATTATCTGATAACCCTTCTTTTTTCATTGAATTCAGTTTGAAAAAATCTGATAATTTTATATAATTTTTAATCAGTTTTTAATACAGATCAGAAATTATTTGTGAAACTATTAAGTTAACATATTTTAGGTAAATATCAAATAGATATCAGAAGAAATATCAGACATTCTAATATAATCTGAGTGTTTAATAATTTTTGATAAATCAGATACATAATATTTATATAGAAAGCTTAATATTTAATCAATTTTTATATATATAAATTATAATAGATAATATGTTAACTTTTTATTTAATAAATAGCAAATATATTATATTAATATATTATATTATATTTATTATTAATTTATTCTATTATCTACTATTAATAAAATATACATTTTAATAATAAATAATAAATGGGCAGACTGCAACAAAACTAGACAAAGTGAATATTGGTATTACCAAAGATTTCAGAGATCAATAGTGTTTATTTAATCATAATTATATTATAATGTAATGTGATCATAATATTTATCTAGATAAAAATAGTTAATATGAAGCTAATTTACATTAGGTCTATTATAGAACCCAAGAATTACAGCATCATTAGAAGTATTTTGAAGAAAGAACAAGGTGAAAAAATTGCTCCTTACATTTTCAAAATAAATGATGCTTAGGCACTTGAAGCTTATCTAAGAAAAGAAAAGATTACCTATGAAATTTACCAAGAAGAAAGAAAAATAATAAATGTT